AAGTGCATGCCTTAAAAATAAATTTAGCTTGTATTTGCATTTATTACTACACTTAAAATGAGTCCACTACACAATTCTCAACATGATTCCAGTGACTAACATTGCTTGAACGTTGCACTTCCCTAATTTGAAACAGCTGCAGTAAAACTCAGGCCATCAATGGCAGAAATAGCACATAAGTGCAGCTCAGAAAAAACATACAAGTTTAAAATTAAGAGGTTAAGGCCTTATTTTACATCTTTAAAAACCACCATCCTATATTGCACCCTTTAATTACATTAACTCCAACTCGTGAGAGCAGCCTCCCCTCGATGACTTGCGTTACCAGCTATACTTATGAGGAGATATGCAAAGTAAAAGCAGGGCTGATTGTTAAAAAGAAGCAACAACGCATAAGCAATAATGTTCTTATTAAAGCAACGTTGGTTTCAAACTAAAATCCAGGACAGAACCCATATGCAAACTATTAGAAAAGCCACAATCGAGCCTTTCAGTGTCTCCATGTTGCGTCCAAGGAGTTGTATTCATACACAAAAAAGCTGAGTCGATTCTTTTGACATTATCGCAACTATATAGGAAATCTACAGTAGAAACAAACCTGCACACTATTAGTATAAATGAACACATTAATATTTCAGCCATAACAATGTGATGGAAAGCCTCATGCCCAGCATTTATTTGCCAAACACCAAATTTACAGTAACTAGAAACGAGTTAGCTACTTAAATTATGGTCAAAACTCACAATGATTACCACAATGTTCAACCTTTTTGTTTCGTTTAGGTGTAAGAAAATCACATGACACGAGGTTCCTTTTAAAGACATGCACTGACAAAGCAAATAACGGGAATTTTAGGCGTTGCCTTACTAACAAAACACCATAGACGTAACACCACAGGCTTTCACTTTAGAGCCCAAAACACCCTACTTTGCTGATCTGGGTTATGTTATTAGCGGCGGCGACGTTCAAATCTAATTTCAGTTTCTGATAGGAATAAGCGTTAAAAACCTCAAACCACAAACTTTAACAACAAACACCAGCAAATGTTATATTTAGACTGACTTAAAGAAGTTCCAGATCTATAATTGTGCACTTATTATTTCAGTTATTTTGCCTTTAATTTAAATAAACATGTGCAAACAATATACTTGCTCTTGTGAATTTATTTGGATGTTAATTACATTGTGCGAGCTGTCTCTTTAATACCGAGTGGTTTACGTACATGTTGCTGCTGATTGGGCTGACATGTTTGTCACACCCACCAAACAAGAGAAACGTATCTCAAACCCCGTTGCACACCGTTGCACACCGTTTACAGGAAACATGTCGTTCAAACTGGAAACCGTAGCAAAACGGTGCACACCGGTTTGATCTTGAACTTGCCCCAGTAGAATGCTGTTCTGTATCCTACTTGTAACTATTTAAAAAAATGAAACAAAGGAGATAGGTTATAGAATTCCAAAACGACATTAAGAAGTCTGATAATGATGAATCGGTTCGATCAAAACTCACTCTTGTGATTTTACAAACGCTTTGAGAATCGATTCGAACAAATCAATACAAAGGAAAAGATCAGGTTGAGAAGAAAAATTCAAGGTAAATGTATGTCCGGTTGCTTAACCTCTTGAGACCCGGCAAAACATTTTAGGGAAAAAAATAGTATTTTTTTCATGTGATTACATTGTTTACCCAGCATTAAAAAAAAATTTTTTTATTAAAAATGATATTTCATTCATAAGTTATGCTACGTCCTTGGTAGAGGACATCGGGACTCGATAAAAAAATTAAAAAATAAAAATAAAAAGACATGAATGAACATGCATAAGCAAAAAAATATTTATTTTTTAAAATCACCAATACATTTTTAGTTTTCAGGATTTTTTTTACCAAACATTGTATAAAGATAATTCGCAACTATGTTATAACAGAATGATTTCATATACCATTTTTCTTTATGCAAAATATGTGTAAAATGGCCATAAACAGGTTTTCTCATGCATATTAATGTGTTTTTGGGGCAACCAGTAATGAAAAAAAATAAGTGTAATAACTGACAAGATTTTCATAATAATATATAATATTTCATAGAATATTTCATAGAATTTCTTTCCTTATTCATTTGTTGTGTCTCCCAAAATGCTAATAAACATGCTTTTAGTCCCGGTGTCCTCATATGAGGACATGTATGAAATCAACCTCCTGTTTCGTAACAGAAAGTCATATTCTGATTTGAAACCCCATAACATTTTCCTGAGATGTTGATTTATGACACACAGTTTAAAAATTAGTCAGATGATTAAAATGATCATTACAAAATATTATCTTATTTCCATAAGAGTGTCACTAAATTAATTTCAGACATTTTTAAAGACCAAGGAGAGGGGGTGGTCTATGGAGGACGAAACCTACAAAAACAATAAATAAATAAATACACAAATAAATAAATTAAAAATAAAATTTCGTCCCCCCAAAATAAAAATTCGTAATTTTCTTACTCTCATGTCATTCTAAACGTGTGCATTTCTTTCTTCTGTGGAGCACAATAGAAGATATTTTGAAGAATAATGGTAACCAAACAGTAGCCGGTAGCCATTGACTACCATAGTATTTTTTGCCTTGCTATGGAAGTCAATGGCTACCGGCAACTGTTTGGTTACCATTATTCTTCAAAATATCTTCTATTGTGTTCAGAGGAAAAAAATTACTCATACAGGTTTGGAACAACTTGAGGGCCAGTAAATGATGACAGAATTTTTTGGGGGTGAATTATCCCTTTAAAAAATCGTGATGACTGAGCATATAATCTGTGCTATAACCAGTTGAGTTTTGACTTTTTTCACTGGAGGAAGCATTATTGTGGATTATGTACTGCTATTTTGTCCAGAAATGATGATTTAAAGTTAAACACCTTAATGATGAATTAGTTTCTTCAAACATGCAGCTTTTCACATCAAAAGACATTGATTGATGGACTGGAGTTGTGTGGATTATTGTGATGTTTTTATCATCTGTCTGACGGCACCCATTCACTGCTGAGGATTCATTGGTGAGCAAGTGACATAATGCTCAATTTCTCCAAATCTGATGAAGAAACAAACTCATCTTCATCTTGTATGGCCTGAGATTGAGTCAATTTTCAGCAAATTTTAATTTTTGACTAAACTATTCCTTTAATGTGATTGTTTGACTAACAATTTAGCTTCTGTCATCATTTATTCCCCATCATGTTGTCCCCAACCAGTTTAACAGCTGCTGGTCCCCATCCACTTTAAAATGACAACAGAATTGAATTGTAATTCAATGTATTCAAAACTCTAATTTATTCCTAATAGATAAACTAGAAAGAGCAAGGCTGGCCGACTTCGGCTTAAGTCGCAAACTGGAAGAGGGGAAAACCACAGTGTATACTGATAGAGCTGGTACACAAGGCTCGGAAGCAACAGAGATTGTGAATCAGACCGAAAATAGCCATTACAAATCGAGCTCAGACATCCAGGTTTGTGAAATAAACTGCAGCCATGCTAACAATGAGATCATCTAACTAAAAGAGGATTTTATTATCAGTTTTGTTCTTAGAAATCGTGTTGGTTTGTGATTTCTTGCACATTTCGTGCTCTAATCATGTCCAGTGGTTAGTATTGTGTAGTTTCTCCTGTTAGATGACTTTGTTTTTGCACCATTTATTGTAGGTCGCAGGGATGTTAACATATTACATCCTCTCTGATGGAAACATCCTTTTGGTGATGGCATCTTCCGTGAGGTGAACATTTCAGAAGGGAAATATTCTCTTGGCGATATTCAAGATATTGCAGCAAAGAATCTCATAGAATGGATGATCAACAAAGAACAAGATAAGAGACCGACCGTCGACAAGGTCCTAGATCACCCTTATTTCTAGGATGATAAACGGTAAATTATAATTAATGTTTGATCCTTAGGAAGAAATCATTTGCTCCTTATTCTTGCTTTTACCACTGAAAGTGGCAGTTACATGAAACTGAAAGGTGTTTTTTTCACTATTTCCCTTAATATCTTCTGCCTTTCACTGCATCCTTTTACTTCTTGCTCCTTTGATGTGTTTTATTTGCAGTATTTCAGATGCTGACTAATTTGCTTCCAATAGTGAAGAACAGTTCTATGAAGAGAAGATGATTGATGAGTTCCCAGATTTCTTCATCAGTTTACACAAGCTGGCTATGGACATGGGCTGGGAATATTGAAGATGCTGAGAAATTGCATGTAGACACTTGTACATAGTTTTTGTAATTTTTATAGTTTTGATCATGCCCTTTTTTGGAGGCAAATATTTGTCATATTTCACTTTTCTGTCTTTTGCCGATTCAACTGCGTTACACTTAATGTTGAATAGAATGTTTTGAGTCCCTGTTGCATTTTTAAACTTCATGATACTGGTTTCAGTTCAAGACGTCTGAAGATGGTTTCGAGGCCTGATTTTGACTAAAGTCAATATAGATATTTTTGACTTGCTTGCTTGTTTATTTTCGTTGAATCAGTTCTGTAATGCTAAATGAATGTTATTTGTATAATGTGAAATGGTTTGTAAAAGCAGTCAAAGAATGTGTCTTCTGAAGATCACATATGATAAAGGAATAGTTCAACCAAAAATGACAATTTTGTAATCATTTAATCATCAAGCCAGTCTAAACGGTAAAACATTTTACATCATTTTTATTTTGTTTATAATTTCTGAGATGTAAATACTTGCACTGGAATTTTAAAGAAAAATAAAAGATAATTTTTTTTTTTTTTTTTTACATTAAAAATATGTTAATATTTCAAATATTTCAGTAAACAAAAATCAAGGCAAAAAAGACCTCAAAATACAGAAATGTGAATACAGAATAGACGTCTTTGATATTTGTATTAACGACAACTTCAGAAAAACTAAGCTAAAAATGAGTTTGTTGAACTGTAAGGGGTGTGGATTTCTTCGAGACCCACAGATCTCGTGTTGTTGTGTGCTATCGATGATTGGCTGCATGGTTTTCCTCTTCCGCATTTAACGCATTAATCTAAAATCCCGATTTCTGCACGAATAAATCCGTGATTATTAGTAAACTACAGGTATGTGAAACGCACATCTGTATATACATGACAGCAAATATGAGTGTTTATTAGCTTCTAGATTATTATAGTCTGCTTGACTGACTGCGCTTTTGGTCTGTTTTGCTAAGTAATTTCCTTTCGATTTCAAATAACTAAAGTCGACGTGTTCATATACTATAGTATATTATAGCTTATTACAGATATTATATGTGATATAAATGACATAATTACAACATGTGACAACTTGCCCCAATCTTATACTTGTTATCATAGTTCAGCAGTTAAAATGCACTTTGACTATGACTTTACTTCATCTAAATGATTAACAATACAATAATTTTTTATAAAAGCATGTTGTTGTTTTGCATTTTTGTCTTCTTAGCAACTTTTCAGGAACTGAAGAAAAACAATGGCACATCAGCGTAAGTTTCACTCCAACTTAAATGCACAACATTTGAAATAATATTGGCACAGATTAAATTCACTTGATCTAATGTGGTTTACTAGTTGATTTGATGGTTTGTTACCATGTACTGAAGGTGAGAAAAGGTTGAAATCTGTCTTTGCTAACTGATTGATGTTTGATATTTACTCAGATGTTGAGTTCGTGGACACACACTATGAAGCTCTCCTTCAGAGAGTTACATCTGTGATGCCCATCACTGATAAGCTGTATGAAAGCAAAAAGCTTACCTGGGAAGCGTATTCGAAGATCACAAAGGCCACATCTAAAAAGACCCAAATGAGAGAGCTCCTAAACGCTGTGAAATCTGGAGGACCTGCAGTAAAATCTGCTTTTTACGAAGTACTGCAAGAAATCGAGCCTGATGTCATTCAAGAACTTGAAGGTAAAGCAAGATTGGGAAAACAAATTAAGAAAGCAATATACTTAAACCTTATGCATTTTCAGCTTTGATCTTTAATGGATTTTGCAGGGTCATCCTCACAGACAGACCATGAAAACCAGGTAACTGAGAACAATATCATCAGGTGGAACCTATCCTCAAAGCACAGAAGTGAAATAGAGGAGCTCTGGAAGGATTCCTCCAGGAAAAAAGTTGGGAATCTTTACTTTTCAAGAAGTAATAAATACATTATTGGCTCTGGAGGAAGTGGCACAGTATATCTTGGCCTGAAGGAAGATGGCACTGAGGTAGCCATTAAACGAATAACCAAGGACCAACAGAAAAGCATATACTTTGAAAATGAACTAAAGCATCTACGAGATTTGAATCTTGAGAGCAAGAACATTGTCAGGTACGTGGACTTAGCAGAGGATGAAGACTTTTATTATCTTGCACTACAGCTTTGTGAATACGATATGGAGGATTACATGACAAATCTTCGTCAGGAAGAACAAAAAGACAAAGAGACCGCTTTGAGAAAAATAGTGGAGGAGATTCTTCTTGGCCTTCAAGTTCTTCACCGTGCTGGAGTGATACATCGTGATATAAAGCCTGGAAATGTTTTGATAGGTATTAAAAATAGGTTTTATTTACTGCTTTTGTAGCTTTACAAGGTACGGAGCCTGATGACATACAAGAAAAAAATTAATAAATCGTGCGTACGATTTACTAATTCGTTCCCTCGATATATAAAATCGTGTGCACCATTACTATTTCATTCCCTCAATTTGCTAATTCGTTCCCTCGATATATAAAATCGTGTGCACCATTAGTATTTAATTCCCTCAATTTACTAATTCGTTCCCTCGATTTGCTAAATCATGCGCACAATTTACCAATTCGTTCTCTCGATATATAAAATCATGTGCACGATTTAGCAAATCGAGGGAATGAATTAGTAAATCGTCCGCACAATTTATAAATCAAGAAAACGAATCAGTAAATCGTCCACACAATTTATAAATCAAGAAAACGAATCAGTAAATCGTCCGCACGATTTATAAATCAAGAAAACGAATCAGTAAATCGTCCGCACAATTTGTAAAGCAAGGAAACGAATCAGTAAATCGTCCGCACGATTTATAAATCAAGGAAACGAATCAGTAAATCGTCCGCACAATTTATAAATCAAGAAAACGAATCAGTAAATAGTCTGCACGATTTATAAATCAAGAAAACGAATCAGTAAATTGTCCGCACGATTTATAAATCAAGAAAACAAATCAGTAAATATAAATCAAGAAAACGAATCAGTAAATCGTCTGCATAATTTATAAATCAAGAAAACGAATCAGTAAATCGTCCACACAATTTATAAGTCAAGAAAACGAATCAGTAAATCGTCCGCACGATTTATAAATCAAGAAAACGAATCAGTAAATCGTCCACACAATTTATAAGTCAAGAAAACGAATCAGTAAATCGTCCGCACAATTTATAAATCAAGAAAACGAATCAGTAAATCATCGTATGATTTACTAATTCGTTCCCTCGATATATAAAATCGTGTGCACCATTACTATTTCATTCCCTCAATTTGCTATTTCGTTCCCTCGATATATAAAATCGTGTGCACCATTACTATTTAATTCCCTCAATTTACTAATTCGTTCCCTCGATTTGCTAAATCATGCACACAATTTACCAATTCGTTCTCTCGATATATAAAATCATGTGCACGATTTAGCAAATCGAGGGAATGAATTAGTAAATCGTCCGCACAATTTATAAATCAAGAAAACTAATCAGTAAATCATCCACACAATTTATAAATCAAGAAAACGAATCAGTAAATTGTCCGCACGATTTATAAATCAAGGAAACTAATCAATAAATCATCCGCACCATTTATAAATCAAGGAAACGAATCAGTAAATCATCCGCACGATTTATAAATCAAGAAAACGAATCAGTAAATAGTCTGCACGATTTATAAATCAAGAAAACGAATCAGTAAATTGTCCGCACGATTTATAAATCAAGAAAACGAATCAGTAAATCGTCCGCACAATTTATAAATCAAGGAAACAAATCATGTGCACGATTTAGCAAATCGAGGGAATGAATTAGTAAATCGTCCGCACAATTTATAAATCAAGAAAACTAATCAGTAAATCATCCACACAATTTATAAATCAAGAAAACGAATCAGTAAATTGTCTGCACGATTTATAAATCAAGGAAACGAATCAATAAATCATCCGCACCATTTATAAATCAAGGAAACGAATCAGTAAATCATCCGCACGATTTATAAATCAAGGAAACGAATCAGTAAATCGTCCGCACGATTTATAAATCAAGAAAACAAATCAGTAAATCGTCCGCACGATTTATAAATCAAGAAAACGAATCAGTAAATCGTCTGCACGATTTATAAATCAAGAAAACGAATCAGTAAATTGTCCGCATGATTTATAAATCAAGAAATCGTCCGCACAATTTATAAATCAAGAAAACTAATCAGTAAATCGTCCGCACGATTTATAAATCAAGGAAACAAATTAGTAAATCGTCCGCACGATTTATAAATCAAGAAAACGAATTAGTAAATCATCCTCACAATTTATAAATCAAGAAAACGAATTAGTAAATCGTCCACACAATTTATAAATCAAGGAAACAAAATAGTAAATTGTGCTCACGATTTAGCCTACTATTTTTTTCCTGCATGCCATGTAGGAAACTGCAGGCTCCGTAACAAAGGATTCATCAAAGTAATGTTACACTTTGTATTTAAGGTGATTTAAAACTCTGTAACACTCTCAACAGATTCAGGAAAAAATGCAAGGCTGGCCGACTTTGGCTTAAGTCGCAAACTGGAGGTGGGCAGAAGCACAGTGCATACTGCTAGAGCTGGTACACAAGGCTGGGAAGCTACGGAGATCCTGAATCAAGATACAGGTTACAAGAAGACCTCAGACATCCAGGTTTGTGAAATATCATGAACATCAGCTACAGAGATCATCTAGCTATAGGAAAGATGGATTTTTCAAACTCTAATAAAAATGAACTCTAAATAAGTGACCAGATTATTATAAAAAAAAAAATAAAACATAATTTGTGTTTTTAATAAAAGAAAGTGTATGAAGATAAATAATGACATAATTATTCTTCCAAATAAACAGACACCGAAAATGCCATTTCTTTATTAAATATTGCTGATAAAATGCCATGTGAGACTGGTCACAGAGTTCAACCTTCTTTATCAGCTCTCTCTCATTGCCCTGCGGTCAGCATGTGTTTGACGGTCTGCTCTTATTTATTACAGGTTGCTGGGATGTTGGTGTACTACATCCTCTCTGACGGGAAACATCCTTTTGGGGACGAAAAGTATCGTGAGGAGAACATCAAGAAAGGGCAGTACTCTCTTGAAGATTTACAAGATATAGTAGCAAAGGATCTCATCGAATGGATGATCAACAAGGAACCAGAAGAGAGACTGACCATTAAAGAGGTCCTACGACACCCTTATTTCTGGGATAAAGACAGGTGAATAATAAATGACGTTTGATGGACGCTTTATTGTTTTTATCACTGTGAAGTGAAGGTTAGTTAATCTAGTGTGTATTTGTTCCATCTTTCTGAAGGAATATTTCACAGTTCTTTTTGGTTATGATGTTCGCCACCTACTTCTATGAGATCGATCTTATGCATGGTTCTCCACTGCAAACCCACAATTTCTTTATGTCTTGCTTGCTTGAAAGAGTTTCTTCTGTTTATTTCCAGTTCTTCAGATGCTGTTCTTGCCTGATACTCTGACAGAACTAACTCTTGACTCTCCTCTGAGTCACTGCAAGGATCATGTTTTTAGATTTTGGACTCTTTATGTTGGCATCTATCTTGAGATGTGAGTCTGAGAATCGTAAAGGAATAGTTCACCCAAATATTACAATTCTCTCATGATTTACTCGCCCTCATGCCGTTCAGTCATAAGAACCACTTTTATGATGCTATTTTGTCATTTTGAAGCTGGACAGCCCTCATTTAGTTTCAATGTATTGACAAGTGTGGCCAGAATATTTACGTTGTTAAATAGAAAAAACGAAAGAAAAAAAGTCATAATGGTTTGGAATAACATGAGGATGAGTACATAATGACAGAATTGTATTTTTCGATGAACTATCACCACAACACAACGTTTTTCGTGGAAACATGCTTATAGTGTATGTTGTGTTTAATGTGCACTTTCTGAATGTACACCCTTGTTCTGTTGCTGAACTGACCTGCTCAATGCCCGCATTTTTTCTTTCCTTCAGCAAAGATGCAGTCCTTAGGAGGCTGGGCGATAGGCCTGAAATCCAGAACTACGAGACTTTAGCAAAACTTCGCAAACTCTACATAGAAAAAGGGCACACAGAGCGAACAGACCCGACAGCAGCACTGACCATTGTTGAGGCCTTCAGTGAATTGAAAATCGAGAATGAAAAAAAGTAAGTTTTAAGTTTTTGAAAGAACTCTCTCACCAAGGCTGCATTTTAAAAAAAAATCAAAAATACAGTAAAAGCAGTAATATTGTGAAATATTACAATTTAAAATAACTGTTTACTATTTGAATATGTTATAAAATGAATTCAGCATCATTACTCCAGTCTTCAGTGTCACATGATCCTTCAGAAATCATTCTAATTATTATTATCAATGTTGAAAACAGTTGTGCTGCTTTTATTTTAATGGAAACCATAATAAACCACCATTCAAAATGTTGGGGTAAGTAAAACTTAAAAAAAAATAGAGAAAGTAATACTTTTATTTATCAAGGATGCATTCAATTTATCAAAAGTGACATTAAAGACATAATGTTACAAAAGATTTCTATTTCAATTTTTTTCTATTTATCAAAGAATCCTGAAAATAAAAAATGTCATGCATTCCACAAAAATATAAAGCAGCACAAATGTTTTCATTAATAATAAGAAGAAATGTTTCTTAATGAGCAGCAAATCAGCATATTAGAATGATTTCTGAAGGATCATGTGAAATTCAGCTTTGATCACAGGAATAAACTACATTTTAAAATATATGAAAGTAGAAAACAGTTATTTAAAGTTGTAAACACAATATTCCACACTATTAAAGTTTTTATTGTATTTTTGATCAAATAAATGCAGCCCTGTTGAGCATAAGAGACTTCTTTCAAAAAATATTTTTTAAATCTTAATTATTCCTAACCTTTGATCAGTAGTGCACATATTATTAAATAAATTTTACATAACAGTTTACATGAAATATGGATCATGTGCCAGGCTTTGCCTGCTCATTTTTTGTCCTTTAGGAGAAATGACATTCTTACAATAGTGGGTGAGGATTTAAAAAGACTTTGGAAGCTCTTCAACGCTGCAGAGGAGGTCACAGAGGGAAAAAGCTTTTCTAATTGGCAATCAGAGGTGAGTAAAACTGTAAAACAGCAAAACTCACCTAAACACTAAACAGGAGCCTTCCTTTCCTTGCTTTGTACATTATCTTGGTTTATTCAGCAGTGTTGGGACTGCTAACAATGTAGCACACTAGACAGTCTGTGCTAACCTAATGCCATAAACATTGTATTTTTTTATTTGCAGCTCTCAGAAATATGGACAGACATTAACAAAAAGCTTCCAGAGGACATTCTTGGCCTGCTGCGTGTTTTTCGCAACAAACTGGTGCATGCGTGAGTGAGACAAAAATGTTCATCCAGATCTCAGTTAGATCTCTATTTCTGTCATTTGACCCTTTTACTCGTTTCAGTTGGCTTTCATTAATATGGAAATGTAGGTAGTCAAGTGTTGATGCATTTATTTTTGTGACTGTAATGCTTCTATTTTGACTCGCAATGAATTCATTCTGTCTCTTGTTTCTAACAGAAATGTCAGAAATGAGTTTGAAAGGAAGAAGATTTTTGACCGCTTCCCGGACTTTTTCATCAGTTTGCACAGAGTGGCTAAAATCTTGAGCTGGAAATATTGAAGATCCTGAGAGAACATTCCATCACAACATGGCATGATTACAGTTTTCACAGTCGACATAAAACTTCTCATTATTTTATTTGGGGCAGTCTTAAGCACTGTTTTCAGAATTGATACTTAATAACTTTATCTATTAAACTTTTGTAGTTAAGTGGATAAATTCACAGATTAAAGCTACTTTTTAAATGATTATTATTATTATTATTATTATTTACAAAATTACATTTTCTCTTTAATGACAAGAAAAGGGTTTCAGGCTCCTAAGTTTATGATTTTTATAGACATCAGCAGTGCAATAATGGGCAATAGAGCATTCCAGTGGTAAAATAAACTTGGAAATAATAATTGTAGTAACACTTCATCTAAAATAATGCAAATTTGTATTCACCTGTGGTTAAAAATATGATCCGGCTGAAACCAGTTGCCTGATGTCAGTGTACTCTTGGTAACTTCTTTGACTGTCTTTCAGGTGACGCAACAGGTCACTTCTCATATCAACTCATACTTTTAAACTCAGAAACGAGAACAAAAAAGGCTAATTAAATGGAATATTAAACCAAAGCAAGTCAAAAGCATTTGTAAACTAAATGGACTATAAATAAATTTAGAACTAACACTAAAGTAACAGGCTACACAGCCCCACACATGACATGGGGGAAAAATATATTGTGGCCACAATTTAAGAATTCCAATTTAAGAATTACTCACTTGTCACTAATTTTCATTGAATTAAAACGAGGGAACAAATTAGTACAACGTCACCACGATTTACTAAAATTAGGGAACAAATTCTTAATTAGTGGCCACAATTTTTGTCTTCATGTCATGTACAGGGCTCAGTAGATTGGTCCATTGATGTTGACCGGTTTGAATGCTGATAGCATTATCATATTTCATTGTATTATTTTTGTTATTTTAATGTACATCATTAGATGAATTAGGATATAATTTGGTTGCATTTAATTTGGCCATAATCCTGCTGAAGAAAAAATATATATATAATTTTTTTTTTTTTTGGTCGGTTTACCAGAACCAGCCTGACTAGCTGACAGGTGCCCAAAACCAAGCAGTCTGACAAAAAAAAACAAAAAACAGATTTAATCATTCCTGTAGACAGAAAGAGAAGACTAACATGAACAAAAATATGACCAACAAAAAATTACTACCAACATGAAATATAATGACCAACAAAAAAAATTACTACCAACAAGAAATATAATGACCAACAAAAAAAATGACTACCAACAAGAAATCTAATGACCAACAAAAAAAATTACTACCAACAACAAAAAAAATATGGCCAACAAAAAAGAAGGCACTTTGGTAGCAATTCAACATGCACGTAACAACCAAAAAATATTACTTACTTCACAAATGAATTTAATTATTTAAAAAAATACGAAGCTGGAGAGCAAGAACATAATCAAATATGTATCGAAAGCACAGGACAGAAATTATATTTATTTAGCAGTAAATCTTTGGGATTACGGTCTACTCTAGATGAATACATTGAAAAACTTTATCACATAGAAATAGACCAACAAAAAAATAACGAGCAACGAACAACAAATGACCAACTAAAAAATAGGATATGCTTCTTCCAGTGCAAATTAATTGTATTGGGACGGAGTATAGATTCATGTTTCTGAGAGACTTAAAGTGCAACATAATGCTAAATGACCTACAATGACTTAATTTTTCAAAGCTTTTTGTTACAGGTTAAAAAAAAAGTTTTCATTTTAATGTAGTGCATTACAAGAGATTCCTCATAATGCATATAATTCATTATACAACTTTCTCTCCCATGAATGTATCTCAAGTTCCATGCTAATCTAGTGGTCAGATTGTTCATTCTAACTTGTTCTAGTCAATAAATTATAGATATACTCAGCCCAGACAAATGCCCCAGTGTATTACATTTTATTCTTGTATGTTCTCACGTTAATATGTCTTATGTGTTTTGTTTCCAATAGGGGATTTTTTCCAGATTTCTACACATTCTTACACGGATTGGCTACAGACATGGGCTGGGACTATACCTGGTCTTAAGATGAGCGAGAAGAGAACATCAGCACCCTGTTGTGAGTGGGAGATGAGAGAGCATTTTTAGGTTCTAGCTTGTCCATGGAGGGGTGACCCATCAGGGAAGCAAGTGTCACCACTCTTATTCTCCGTTAGAGACCTCACTGGACCACCATGGGATACTGGAGCTCACACCGCCCTAAAAACAAGTCTGAGACACCAGTGTCTTTTCTGCTTTTTTGTAATATTAATAATAAATATAATTACATAAACTGTATGTATTTTTCTGAGAGTTTAATTTCTAATGTTCAGTTTTAATGTGTTGTGTTACTCTCTTTTACAGTTTTGCATGCAATTATAAAATAGTTCGTATCACTCAGTTCTATTGTTAGGATATTTAGGATATTAGGTCTTCAATGAACTGCATGTGGGCACTAGATTTTAACTGGGATATATCTGCCACACTCAGTACTAGATGGACAACTGGCCAGATTTAGGGAAAGTTAAAACTATCTCGGTAGAAACATGAGGCTGTTTTTTTCCTTGAATCAACCATTCAAAGAGGTTTTTTTTTTTAGATGATTTCATTTGAATATTTATTTGGACTGGAAATAAACAAATATTGATATATTGAGTTTAAAACAGACGTGATAAATTAGGGAATAATTGGAAATTATAGGTAGAATCAATAATTTATTATAAATTATAATTTACTGCCATTTTGTGAATAATAGGCTATGTAATATCATCAGTCAAGTCAGTGTTACTACCCACCGTGACACACACACACATGTCTGGTTTACTATCCTTGTGGGGACCATAGGTGTAATTGTTTTTATACTGTACAAACCGTATATTCTATCGCCCTACACCTACACCTACCCCTCACAGAAAACTTTCTGCATTTTTATATTCTCAAAAAAAACAAAAAACATTATGTATGGTTTATAAGATTGTTTTCCCATGGGGACCCCTCAATTTGGGTCCCCACGGTGACACCAGTGGAGTAAGTGTGTATTCATGTTTAAGTCCCCACCGGGATAGAAAAACATGTACACACACAGAGACTGTGTGTGTGTGTGTGTGCGCGCGTGTTTATGTGATTTATGAGGACACAAATTTGTATATTTATAAATTTGTAAGGACATGGGTATGACATGAGGACTGGGTCCCCGTAATCAATGTTGGGGGTAACGCATTACAAGTAACACGAGTTACGTAATCAGATTACTTTTTTCAAGTAACTAGTAAAGTAACGCATTACTTTTTAATTTACAAGAGAACATCTGAGTTACTTTTTCAAATAAGTAACGCAAGTTACCTTTTTTTCCATTTTATTGATTGACGGCTCTCCTGTCCCCATGTTGAGAGAAATCAGA